GTTACCATATCTTTGAGTTCTGAGTGGGCGCATGTTGCCAGTTTGCTGCGCACCTGTTTGCATGCATGTAAAGTGTGGAAGAGAGCGAGTCTGATTGCACACACACACACACACACACACACACACACACACACACACACAAACACACTGACACTCAATCAATCAATCAATCAATCAAATCAATCAATCAAACAATCAACCATTTTTTTATTTTTTATTTTTAAAAATTTTGGATGTCCATTTTTTTTTAAACACCTCATTTCCCTACAAAAAACAGAAATTCATTTAAAAAAAAAAACAGGTCAACTCGAGGACCAGATATGTCATGATAAAAAATGACAAAAAAACATTTATGCTTTTCTTTATTTTTCTTTTTTAAATTTTGTTTAAATCGATTTCAATTTTTGATTTTTAAAAATCTTAAACAAAGTCGGATTCCAAAACAAAAAATATGGGAGTGTAGGGTTTTCCAAGCCGTATATATATTTTACGTATTTTTAGGGGGTGAAAAAAAATATTGAAAAACGAGGCCGCAGACTGGGCCTCATCGCCTGTGGCGGTGGCCGAGAAAGCCGGCCGCAGTGGCCGAAATGCCCGCGGCCTAGGCCGCGGGTGTCACATAGGTTGGCGTGTTGGAGGATGACGAGGTGCAGGATGTTTTGGACAGGGAGGGGGCGAACGGCGAGGAAGGACAGTGCGACGGCGAGAACGATGAGATGGGCACAGGGGCAGAGGGCAAAGGACCGACGGAGGGCGGCGGTGAGGACGATGTGCAGGAGTTAGGAGCGTCCCTGGAGAGGGGAGCCTTCAAGGTGGGACGCACTCCTCATCAGACGAGGCCTGGTGCGACTATGGATGGCCGTGGGAAGAGGAGGGCGGGCACTGCTCCTGCGGCAAGCGTTCCGGACACGAAATGCTTGAAGCAGGTCAGATTGGATGAGTTGTACGACCCGGAGTGGCAGGCCACCTTCGACCATCTCTTCCTGCAGTGGTGGTATATTAGCGGTGTCCCATTTGAGAGGGCGAGGATGCCCGAGTACAGGGCCCTCACGAAACATCTGCAGAATATGCCCAGGGGCATGAAGCCTGCTTTGCCCCAGTACAAGCGCATAGCAGGCAGTGGCATACAGGCGGAGCGTGCGTACATAGCTGATAAGCTACGTGACATACGCGAGCAGATGCAGCACACAGGGGCTACCATCCTCACGGATGGGAGGAAGTCCCTGAACTCTGAGCCCATCGTGAAGTTCCTGACAGCAGGACAGGCAGGCGCCTTGCTTTTCACGACGGTGCGCAGGGAAGTGGTTGACGCAGAGACTTCAGACGTCGTCTTGCAGCGCTGGAAGAAGGTGTTCGAGAAGTTCGGCGAGAAGAACATCAACGCCATCTACACAAACTCTGCATCAGTTTATGTCGCAGCCGGTCGAGCACTTTGCAACGATCCCGATCCCGATATTCATCGCATCCCTTGGCTCCCTTGTTCTGTCCATTGCTGCAACTTGATGTTGTTAGACATGGTCAAGGACAAGATATGGGCCATCGAGTTGTTGACCAGCGCGAGGGCGATTGTCCGATTCATTAGATCTCACGGATCGGCTCTCGCGTTGTTCAGGATTTACAATGCCAGGGCCGATCGCGATGCACGGGCGGACCGTGTGAGTGGCAACGCACACATCGGAGAGGGAACAGCAGGCAGAGCACGACGCGGTCGAGAGTTGTTGTACCCTTGCGAGACGCGATTCACCTCTGTGCACATCATGATGGAGCGCGACCACAGGGTTGCACTTGAGACGATGATGTTGGAGGGGGAGCGGGCGCGACTTCCATGGGAGAGGAAGTTGCTCGGGCAGGCCGGGTGGGTGCGCACGCAGGTGCGATGTTGGCTGTTTTGGGAGGAGATGGATGATCTCATCGATGTCTTCACCCCGGTCGTGCAGTTGCTGAGGAGGTTGGACCAGGGGGGTTTGGTGATCTCTTGCATCTTCCGGTGGGTCACCCAGTTGGCCGAGGAGATTCGGAAGTTGGAGTCAACGAGACCTCGCCTGGTAGGCATGCTGCATGATTGTTACGCCCGTGCATGCCATCTGCTGGAGCCCGGCCATGCTGCCGCCCATCATCTCAATCCCAGAAGGCGGAACTTCGTTTACTTCCAGTCTCCGGACCGCAGCGATCAATAGAAGAAGGTGGTGCAGATGACACTCAAGTACATCTACACACAGACGGGCTTCGACCGGCGGGGAGAGAGGTACACGTTGGTCCGTCAGCAGTTGTACGACTTCCACGTGCGCGGGCCGAGGTATGATTGGGGTGGAGATGCACGCACTGCGGACGAGGACACTTGTGAGGGGTCGGATGAGACACAGACGCAGGCCATTGCTGATTGGTGGGTTTTGCACGGCGGCTGTGCCCATGAGCTTTGTGCCATCGCCACACGTCTGATGTACACGTGGGTCTGTGCCTCTCCTGCGGAGAGGAACTAGGCGTTGCACGAGCGTATCCACGAGAAGCGCCGCAACGGGTTGGACTTCACAAAGCTGACTGAAATGGTGGAGATGTGCACGACCAAGAAGCTCCTAACCTGTAGACAGAGGAGGAGGGGACTTGTACTGTCGTGGGGTGATCTTGAGGAGGGGTTGGACGACGTCCCGAAGCCGCGTAGATCAGGTACTCTGTCGCCGGGGTCATTGACGGACGAGGAGATCAGGCGCCAGGCACGCAAGATGTAGCGTGCCTCGACGGTTCGCCACCCCCCTTCGGTTCAGACTGTGTTTGGTCGTCGTGCAGCTCATATCGAGCTGTAGGACGAGGAGGTCGAGTATGATCCCCCGACGGACCCGCAGGCTGCAGACGAGATGGAGGCAGAGGCGTGGACAGACCCGGAGGACTTGGAGCAGGGAGGCAGTGACACACGTGATGCTGGTGAGGAATTCGGCGGAGAGAGTGATGATGGGGCTGCCAGTGATATGAGGTCGCGGGATCGGCAGAGCCATTGCCGTCCCGATCGCATGAGCCCTCCCTTGACTAGGAGTGTGGTCGCGAGAGGGCGCAGGTTGTGCGATCCTCGAGCGAGGACGATAAAGGTAACGATGGAGATGCCGCCGATGATGAGGACTACGACGACAAGAGAGAGGGTGATGGACAGCACCTTTGAGATGGGGGCGAGCATGGGCTATCGAGCATCGACGGCGGTGGGCCGTTTGAGGACGGGGCGGGGGGCGCCTCCCTTGTTACTCCTGGCCCCAGTGCAGTGGGCGGGGGCGTTAGCGGCGGGCAGGGATTTGGTTTGGAGGTACCGCAAGGATCGACTCCCTCAAGCATTTTCAGGGATGACTTCGACGTTGGATGTGTACCGGCTTCAGATGCCTGGCACGATGGGGTGCGTGTTCGGACAGCGATTTTGCACACCATATAGGGTCGGTTTTTGGTGGTGTGAGTTCGGGGATGTTGACAGAGGCTGCTAGAGCGTCAGGTGAGATAGAGGAGGGCAGGAGTGGTGAAAAAGTCATGCCTGTGTCGCCGGTTCGAGGTGTTGCCAGAAGGCTAGACATGGACCTCGAGGACGTGCTTGAGGAGGAGCATTTGAGACGGATGGTATCGGGGTGTGCCACGACACAGCGGCTTGCATTGGAACAGGACACGACCAGGGCGAGGGAGATGGGGTGTACTGTGGAGGAGGTCACTGCCGCGAGATTAGCAGCAGTACACATGATGGTCTTGTAGATGTTGTAGATGGTGGCGGACTCCACACAGAGGGACACGTGGTCAATCGTGCATACGGCGAGAAGGAGCATGAGGGGGTAGGGTTGGGTGGTTTATGTGGCCCCAGCGATACAGGACTACCCACTACTCATGAGGTGCACGGGGGCGACGGTGCGGCCATGACAGACGCAGGGGGGTTGCTTGGGTGCGATGGCACAGAGGTGGAGGGGGATAGAGTACTTGTCGGCGTTGCCGCAATGGAGGACGTGGTCGCAAATGACCCTCAGGATGGTCCTGTCGTGGTGGACGCTGTGGTTGTGCATCGCAACAAGGAGGAGCGACAGGTGGACTCCGAGGACGTTATTGCAGCCACCGTAAAGGCACACACGCCCACCATGTCCCCACTGGAGCGGCACACTGTTGGGATTGATCCAGTGATGGGCAGGAGCAGGCATTTATCGAAGAGGCTTTGGGAGGCTGTGCCTCCATCTTCTTTTGTGCCTGTTAGTCCGCCTACCCTCGGGGGTATCGGGGATATTGGGAGGTCTATGGAGATGGCCGACTTATTCGAGCAATTGACAGGTCAGAGGGTTATCGAGCCGGGAGGGGTATCATGGGGAGCACGGTCAGTCGCTGCAGGGACACGACCGGCATGTGCAGGGGCTGTAAGTGGACGAGGAGGCAAGTCTGGTGGCAGTGTTGTTGGTGGCGGGTGTGGTCCCACAATTGTCGGCGGACGCTCGGGCCTTCTGGGCGGGAGTGTTGGTGGGGGAGAGGGTTCTGCTGCAGCGGCGACAGCAGGAGGGCGCGGGCATGTGCAGGGTTGTCCATCACGTTTGTCGAAGGCGAAGGGGAAGTCCGTATCGTGGAGCGGCATCAACAGGGTCACCCACAAACTCAAGGATGCTATGCCTGGGATTACGGGTGAGAGGAGGGATCGTGGGGGGAGGTTGACTGAGATGTTTGCGGACGCAGCAGGCTGGGTACGGAAGGGAGATAGGTTCGAGCATCCTGGTGTCGGGTCGTCGTGTGTTGCTGAGAGACAGGGCGACCAGATGGTTGCACCACCGTCACGACCGCCCAAAGCAGTTGCGGCACAGCGAGATGGATAGCGACGTCCCAAAGGGTGACCTTCCACACGTGCTTTGCCAGGTGGCTAACTCACCCCCGCATTGTTGGCGGATGCCCCTGATCCTGTCACATTGCAGACCAGCCATGGAGCTCGTCTTTTGACAACACACAGGATACTGAACGAGGAGCCGCAGCGTCAGACAGCAACAGGACCGGGCAGTCGTCGAGCTGTTGGGGGCCGCACGGAGGATTCCGCGACGGATGGGGTGCCCATGCCTAGGGGTAAGAAGACATACACGACCCTGACTGGCGTTTTGAGACGTGCTGCTGCAGGCGGTGTAGAGAGAGAGGCAGAGGTCCAAGAGGCAGAGAGGGTGGCAGCCACAATAGTTGCCAGTCACGCCGTGTCTGCGTCATAGCAGAGGGAGGAGGGAGAGGAGACGACGGCGACGGTGCCGCACGGGCAGCGAGAGCGCATCATCGACGACGATGACACAGACGACGGGCAGTGCGATGCGCCGTAGACCGGGACTTCGATTCGGCGCCGATGATGTTTGTGTATATATTTCTTCATTTAGAGTTTTACTGGTTTCGTTCTTCTTCTTGTTTTTTTTTTTTTTTCCAGTTATTCTTCACATTTTCAGTTACTTGGTAGTTTCACTGTTCACTTTTTTTCTTACTGTGGCTTTTGTGTTTGTAACTTTGTGTATTTCGGTTTGTTCCACTGTCTTCAACTCAGGCTTCTGTTTGATGATTGCAATTTCATGCCTTTTATGAGAATTTTTCAATGTCGTGGGGACGAGGGTAAGTTGCGTTTGCGGGGGGGGGGGGAATGTCTGGGGAGGGGTAACATGGGTTTACAGAGGGGTGTGCGGGAATGTGGGAGGAGGGGTATCTGGGAATGTTGGGTGGGGGTTACATTGCCTCAATTGGGGGTAACATGGGTTTACTGAGGGGTGTCTGGGAATGTGGGAGGAGGGGTTACTTGGCCTTAAAGGCACTTGGTGAGGGGTATCTGGGAATGTTGGGGGGGTGGGGGGTCTGATGCGTCGGTTCCACTTGGTCAGGGGTGTAGGTGCTGGGGGATTTGGGCTCGACGTGGGTTAAGGGTCAGGGTCGTGTTTTGGGCATGGGGGGTTTGGGTAGGTGAAGGTATTTGGGGGGGGTGCGTTGGTGGTAGTTTGTTTCGGGCGGGAGTGTTGCTGGGGGATTTGGGCTTGACGAGGGATAATGGGGGGGGCTGTGTTTTGGGGTAGGGGGTGTTGCGAGGGAGGGGGGGTTGGGCATCGGGG